TACATATGTATACATATCTATAGCTGGGTTTCCATCACCCAGCTTTTATGCGCATTTTGAAGTATCGCATCAGAATCGAGGGATGGAAACGCTGAATTTCGAATAAAAATGCCTTAATTCGCAAAAAAGTTTTTACGCTCGCTTGAGGTGGTTTTTGACATGTGCGAAAAAGGGTGAATGCGAATAATGGGAGATGGAAATGCATTTTGCGAATAAATTCCTCCAAGCGCATCAAAAAAGTCATGTGACTTTGCGCTATGGGACGGCAAATCCTGACTAACCAGCGGACAGATCTTGTTCCACAGCATCTGAAGTGTTGTTATATGGTCATTCGGAAATGCCCGAGCAAAGTCTGTCATCAAAGTATTTCTGTATAATTGCCTCCCAGAACTGTTAAACGACTGCGTTCCCAAACAGCAGCATCCACCTCCGAAAGCAATAACTGCATGCATTGTGTTTCGTCTGCTCGTTCTGAGGTGCAAGCAATTTATTATATAGGAAAAGTATTATATTCAGTAGCTTCTCCTACTTTTCTTAGTGATGTATAGTGCCAGTTTATCAGGAAGTGATGATTTTGTTCTCTTTGACTCGTTGGATGGAAACATAAGTTAAATTCGCAACTTTGGATGGAATCCCAGCTTATGTTTACAGTCTGCTCGTCTCCCCACGGAAGAGAGGGGCGGGGTGAGTAGAGCTCATTAGCATTTAAAGTGACATGCAAGGAAACGGCATGCTGATTTTGACAAGGTAAAAAGGGTGTTTTTTACACTACCATTGAGAAATTTTAACCAAAGTATGTTATAGGCTTTTCATTAAGACCCTAAAGAATCATATCAACTGAAAAATGGGCATCCAAGGACCCCTTTAACAGGTTCCATTAACATCTGTTAACTGCATTAGTTAACATGAAATAACGACTACATTTATTAATCTTAGCTCATGTTAATTTCAACTTTTAATAGGCCTAATACATTATAAAATCAAAAGTTGTGTCTGCTAATAATATTCAATGGAGCTAACATTAATAATAAATAGTTATATTTTTTATTAACAAACATTAACAAAAAATATTAACTACTGCAACAATTAGCTATTGCACATTGTTAGTTAATGTATTGTTAACCTGCTTTAACTAATGTAAACAAATGGGACCTTATTATAAAGTGTTACCTATTGTTCTTTAGGTCATTTAAACTTAATCTTTTGCACTCTAATCATGAAACACTTGTTTACTTTATATTTGTATGTATTTTTTTATACAGTATTTCTTTAGTAAAAGTATTTCTTTAGTAAGTTAGATCAAAAATAAGTTACTTAACCTGTTAGGAGGACAACACTTTTTCCCCCACTTAGAAATTATATATGGTGATAAAAAAACACCATAAACAAAAGCTTCAACGACTATTGTGAAAATTTGATACAGTCACATACCTAATGTACATACAATTTAATAGGACTATAAATAATTACATAATTAGCCTATTTAAAAGAGTCTGAATCAAAATTATTATTGTGCTTGTAAATGTCTCCTTCCCTTATTAAGCTAAAACACATCATTTGAAAAATTTGCATTGCGCCCCTTACTTTTTTTTATTAAAAACTTAGGAGCACATGTGCTCCTTGGGAAAAAGGTAAGCATCAAGCCCTGTGAGGACAACATAAATTTAGCCTGAAAATGGCTAGTGTCGATTAAATATACTTTCAGGTACATTATTTTTGGATTTGTAATAACTAGAAACTACACACAAATACATAAGCCCAAACAAAGCACAAAGCAGACACTTAAGGCTGAAATACACTACATGACTTTTGCCCAGATTTTGCCCTGATTTACAATCAAGACAAGCTGACGCTAGTTGCCAAAAAACAGAGCCATTCTGCAGATGTTGACAGATATCACAGAAAAATCAGATCGCGTGATAGTCACAGATTTTTTTTTTTTTACTTCAGACTATGATTCCATCCATCTGAGGATATCAAACATGTTTGACATTTTGTGCCAATTTTAGAAGAACGCATATTGTTTTAATTTTTTACACATCTACTGGTAACAAGGCACATTTCTGAGTGAGTTTGTTGCGTTCTGAATGATTTGAAAATCTAGTAGTGTGTCGTTTACAAAGTAAACGACTTTATTCAACAATTCGTCTCCTCCGCATCACCCTGTAGCACCATTTTGGAGAGTATCAGCTGGACGTAAACAACGTATGCTGTTCTGTGTCAGCTGCGTCGGATCTGCGCCGGATCTACGTTGTTGTGATTTGATCTAAACGAAAACAGCGTATCTGTGTGACGCAGCTGGCACAGAACAGCATACGCTGTTTACGTCCAGCAGATATTCTCCAAAATGGCGCTACAGGGTGACGCGGAGGAGACGAATTGTTGAATAAAGTCGTTTTTTTTGTTGTTTTTTTTTCCGCACAAAAAGTATTCTCGTAGCTTCATAAAATTACGGTTGAACCCCTGATGTCACATGGATTATTTTACAGATCTCCTTGCTATGTTTCTGGACTTGGGAACATTTCAGTTGTATTGCTGTCTATGCAGGGTCAGACAGCTCCCAGATTCCATCAAAAATATCTTAATTTGTGTTCCGAAGATGAACGAAGGTCTTACGGGTTTGAAACGACACCTCTCAATCTGAGCAAAAGAAACTGTAAGAAACAGCTGACAAGCCCTCTACAGGACAGTCAAGGATTTAAAGAGGACTTTAGTGATGATACTGTATATGCTTCCTTACTTCAATGGTGTACTTTATGCTAAATATGAACTGCAAAGTCAAACTTAAGAAAGATTTAGATGTGATACATTTGTTAAAGTTGTTTGTTTAAATGTTTCAGGCAAGTAAACAACCACAAAAAACCTATCTAGGGCAGGTTTATACAATGTGGTAAGCTCACACTCACTTCCCGTGAAGTTAAACAGGTCAAACACCTGAAACACTCTAACAGCATATAACAACAACTGATTAATGCAGGGACGTTAGAACAAATCAGGTAGTGTTTAAACGTTAAAACACAACCCCAATGTATTTCCTGAGAGAAAAAAATAAAACCTTTAGGGAAAAACATACCTGCAGTAGAGGTGTTAAAAAATTTCCCAGGATCCTCTGGCACTTTGTGAGCACTTCTCTCAGTGCTGAGAACGAAAGGGGCCCTGCTGGGGGCCACGGCCTCTATGCTGGCGGGCTGGTTCACCCTGCTGTTGGGCTCCAGCGTTAGGCTGGCCTGGGATCCCCCTGTCGATGTCATTTTGGATTTAGGCTGGGCTACATTACGAGACGTGACCGGCCTGGATTCGTCGTCACTGTCGAATCCGAACGGATCCTCTGATCCATCACCATCCAAGACCTTGGTCCTCTTGGTCTGATCTGTCACCTCGGTCTTCAAACCGGGCCTCTTTGCTCCCACCTTGGCTTTGTAAGTCGTCTCGCCCCATTTGGTGCTGAGCATGGCTCTTTTATTGGACAACACCTCGTCAAACTTCGAGGTCCCATCGCCTCCTCTTCGGCTGTATGTTTTTCCAAATCTAGATGTCATTGTGGCATCTGTCTCATATTCCCTGTGAACAATTATCAACTGTTACATGAATAATTCGCTGGCTGTTTTGTAATCAAATGTTGACTATTAACAGTCTGCCTCAAGTTTCATCTGTTCATAATGAATAAAATCAACATTATTCAGCATTCTACATGTGTGAAGATCTCGGGGCTATTCATTATAAAACAGATGCGACAGATCATTGCAAACACAGCGACTGTTCCTCAATAATCAGCAATAAACTAAGAATGCTAAAAGCTAGTATGATTATAAGCTAATGCTAATAATTGTAAGTTAACGTTACCTGTTCTCGTCTGTTTACCTTTCACTTTGCAACGTTCCTCCCCTCACTAAGCAAATAAGACATTAACACATTAACACTACTATAGTAACTTCTTTACGTGGATTCCAACAAACGAGTGTCTGAAAACCAGTTTAGCTGATAAAAACAACATAACCGTGCTAACGGCTAATGGACTAGCAAGAAGATTAGCATGAAAAGGCTAGCAGGCTAACTTAATCGGGCAATGTGGTGAAATGCACTCCTATATCCAGCATTAAAACTCAATCGCTATTTGGTTAAAATGTAGATTTTTAATCTACAGAAGAACTGAACCCACAGCAGGACCAAAGGAGGTTAAATACTCGCCTGGTTAATGAAGAGAATGAATCCGGGCCTCTGAGCTCCACTAACACTATAAACAAACACTAAATACTGACAAGCACTGCTTCACGAGCTCCACCAACACAGTTATACGTGTATCTGAGATATGAGTTTCGATATAACGGAATATAAAGATTCACAATCTTTCTATGCAAGTTTTCCTCATGTATTTCTCCCTCGATTGTTTCGGCTCTGAAACACCAACGGCCTCCATTCGCGTTCCCCCTCCCTCGCGTTTTCGCGTCACGACAATCGCGTCGCGGCACAAGCGTAAAAATTTTGACCAATCACGGGCCGCGTTGTGCATACGTCAGACGATTTTCGAGGCGTGTAATTGGTTAGTCCTGGAAAGAGCCTTGAACTTGAACGCGATGGGCGTCACGTACTCCTTGCTGAACTATGGGAATTGTAGGCAGTTGTTGGTTTTATGTTAAGGAATTTACTGAAATAACACTTAACAGACAACAATATATACATACACGTGCAAGAGGGCTATATTCAACTAGAATCTTTGTTTAGTACAAAAATGTTTAGTAATTAGTAATATTCAATTCAATTCAATTCAAGTTTATTTGTACAGCGCTTTTCACGATACAAATCATTGCAAAGCAACTTTACAGCAAATTAAGTTTCTACAATATTTAGTGGTAGCTTATCAGTGGTGACTGTCAGTTAATGTACATATGGCAGAAATGTACGGAAAAATCAATTAAAGACGTCATCAAACAGATGATGAACACTATTAACAGCAATTATTATATGATGCAATCAGTAATACAATTATATTAAGAAAAAAATGGCAGTTTCGCATTGTCTACATTTTGGGCCAATAGTGAATGTTTTCGTTTGTTTATATAACGTTAGCATTTTATTTCTTCGGTTTGTTTTGGTCAGGAATCTGACAGGTCAAGTGACCCACATGTCTCCTAGCAACAGGACCTGTCAACAAGGAGTAGACATGGCCCATAAACGCTAAGTTTCTTTCCATTTTCATCCACCTGTACAGTAACTTACTGTCTGGTTTATTTTGTGGCTTTCAGTGTTTATTTAATATGTAGTGAGAAACAATGCTATATTCATTAAACGTTTTTTAGTCTTTTAACGTCTTAAAAGTGTTTAAAACATGATGTGAACTGTCAGTCAGCGCCAGTGAAAGTATAAAGTGAGAGAATGCACGTCCAGTGGAGTCACTTATCCAGCAGGAATATGCCATTCAGACCTCACACAAGGTGAGTTAATGCATAAGTGTCATGTACTTGTCATTAGGAAACATTACGATTTTTAAATGTCGTTAATAAAGTCTCCTATTTTCACCAAGAGTGCGTTTATGTGCTGAAAATACATCAAAACACTAATATTGTGAAATAGTATTATGCATTAAAATAACTGCTTTCTATTGTATCATATATATATATATATATATATATATATATATATATATATAGTGTGTTCTTTTCTTCAAACATAACGGTTCTCATTTAAACCAAAAAGTTCTATTTTGGTCTCATCTGTCCACAAAGCATTTCTCCAGTAGCCCTCTGGCTTGACCGCATGATCTTTAGCAAACTGCAGACTGGCAGCAATGTTCTTTTTGGATGCACCATGCACACCGTGGCTGTTCAGTGTTCTCCTGATGGTGGACTCATGAACATTAACATTAGCCAATGTGAGAAAGGTCTTTAGTTGCTTAGAAGTTACCCTGGGTTCCTTTGCAACCTTGCAGACTATTACACGTCTTGCTTTTAGAGTGTTCTTTGTTGGTGGAGCACTCCTGTGGAGGGTGCCAGTGGTCTTGAAAATTTGTACACAATCTGTCTGATTGTGGATTTGTGGAGTCAAAACTCTTTAGCGCTGTTTTTGTAATCTTTTCTCTTGAGTTTTAGACCATTCCTCAACACAGAATCGCTTCAGCTCTGTGATGTTGGTGGGTTTCCTCCTATGAACTACTTGCTTCAGCTCCTTCCACAAAATTTCAATTGGATTAAGGTCCGGACTTTGACTTGACCATTACGAAACATTCGCTTTGTTCTTCTTTAACCATTCTTTGGTAGAACAACTTGTGTGCTTGGGGTCGTTGTCTTGCTGCATGACAACTCTTTAGAGATGTTTTTGTAACCTTTTCTAGCCTGATGAGCAACAGCAACTCTTTTTCTGAGGTCCTCAGAGATCTCCTTTGTTCATGCCATGATACACTTTCACAAACATGATCAGACTTGTTTTGTTTTTTACTGTTTCTATTTTTATTTACTTTTTCGAGATTAATAGGCTGATTGTCATTTCTTTGTAACTGTGAAATTTACTTGTAATGTCTTACTAAAAACTGTTTTAAAGCCGCTCACCAATTTTTTTTTTTTTTTCTTCAGTGTAACAAAAATATCTTACAATACACTTCATAGCTATAGTTAATTTCATATAGTAAAAGAGTTTACGGAATTGTGTTTGTAAATATTTATTAGGCTATTCATTCAGTACTGTTGTTTTTCAGGTTGATGTTTTTAACCTCCCACAATTCACAACAAAACTCTACCAGAAGTGTAAGTTCAAATCTCCTTCACAACTCTGTACCTAATATAGTTATTTCACTTTGGAATATTTAGCACATACTGTTATTCTATGCTTCTAACAGGTGTCGGCTCACTCACTATGTCAGCGCACACAAGCTGGGCACACTAACCGCTGGCAGCTGGCAGGTGCTTTAGGCAGTGACCTGCTGGGTCAGGCACAGGTTCGGAGGGCAGAGGAGTTTGGGGATAAATCAGCAGACAGAAAAATTAAATCAGGTGAGATGTGCAATCAGCCTAAAAATGCAATCCAGGAAAATTGTGTTGGACTCATGCACACATGAAATATAACTCATCACTGTCCTACTATATAAATACCTTTGTAGGGATAGTTTACACAAAAATGAAAATTCTGTCATTATTTACTCACCCTCAAGTTGTTCCAAACCTGTATGAATTTTTTTCAGCTGTTGAAAACAAAAGACAATATTTTGAAGAATGTTGGTAACCAAACATTTGATGGTAGCCATTGACTTCCATAGTATGGTAAATAAATAAATAAAAATACAATGGAAGTCAATGTCTACTATCAACTGTTTGGTTGAACTACCCCTACCACATGAAACCTTATGTCACAATAAAATCATAAAATACATGCGAAGAATAGCATTAAAATTACTATAACTTACTATTACTATTACTATTGTAAATACAATGTAAAAACATCATAACACAATAAAAATAATATCTTACAATCTAGACCCAAAAAACCTAAATACAAAACCCACAACAACGATGAAAAAATGGTGTAGAAACATGTTTCACTCAGAAACTGCTAGCAAATTACGCTACAAAGAAACAGCAAGTAACACATTGAATTAAACATGAAATTTTGAAGAAATAGTATTTACTTTTTTCTTTTTTTTGTGGTGAAATATAGTTTACATTATACTATATGCTAAAAATGCAATGTAACAAAAGTTATACAATCTATCTATCTATCTATCTATCTATCTATCTATCTGTCTGTCTGTCTGTCTGTCTATCTATCCATCCATCCATCCATCCATCCATCTTTGTGTGTGTTTTATATTTGTTTGTTTATGTATTTGTGTTTTTGTACAGCTTATCGGTTACATTGCATTACAGTACACTGAGCAAGATAGATCCAATTTATCCACAAATCATGACAACACACGTCTTTCAGAATGGTGTTTAGATTTGGCAAAGGCTTTCTTATATCAAGAAGTAACCAACTTGCATTAATGAGTTTTACCCATAATGCCGCAGCGCGTCTTCAGCATTGACTTTTGCCAGAATCCTGGGTTGACCAGGGGGATACGAGTGCCAGTCTGTGCCAACCCGCCGACCTGGTGTCACAAACCTGGCATCATTTTAGAGATAGGCACCTGTAGGGTTTTGGCACAGGAGGGGTTTAAGAGGCATTGGCAGTTACGCACTTGAAGGCACTTTACCCAGAGAAACAATAGGAAAGACAGTATGGCTTTTGATTCCTATGCCAGGTCTTTTTAATTCGGAATAATCAGAATATTGTGATGAAATAGAGGTGCACATGCTGAGAGGCATCTGCTTGAATTGAGTGCTTCTTATGACTGGAGTTATTGCTATAGCTTTGTTGATTGTTTTTACTTCAGAGATGATATAGGGATGAATATAGAGATGTTAATAGATACTTTCCAGAAATAGGGAGCAAATTGCTGTCCTATTACTTTGTTAAAGCAGTAAAGGTACAAACCCCATGTCTTTTGAGGAGAGAACTATTAAATATTTTAATAAGGGATAGTTCATCAAAAAATGAAAAGTATGACTTCATTACTGACTGTGATGTCATTCCAAACCTGTATGACTCTTCTTCTGTTCTTCAGCTGCCTAACAAGCTTATTGATTATAGTGTTGTTGTTGTTTTTTTGTTGTTTTTTTTTGGTCCAATGCATTGAGTTAGTTATAATTAGAGTTTAAGGGATTAACTGCATTAACTAGATTTTTATATTCATTTCATGATTAGTGTTGCAAAATTATGCAAATTTGTGTATTAAACTGCATTCAGTCATGTCCCAAATATTGTTGCAGTGTTGCAAACAGTATTGCAAAGATTGCATGTTAAAAAAAAAAAAAAAAAAGCTATGTTGATGTTAAAAAATGCTTACTAAAAAATTTTAATTTGTTGACAATTTACTCAGCCTCAGGCCATCCAAGATGTAGATGAGTTTTTTTTCTTTATTGGAACAGATTTGGAGAAATTTAGCATTTACATCACTTGCTCTCCAATGGATCCTCTGCAGTGAATGGGTGCCGTCAGAATGAGAGTCAAGACAGCTGATAAAAACATCACAATAATCCATAAACAATCCTGCGTGCATGTGTGTGTGTGTGTGGATGCACCTATAATGTATCTCTTTACCTTTATATGCAGCAAAGATGTCACATGGTCTTCAAAGCTTGACACTCAAGAGGAACAATTTTACATTTTGTCTCGCAGATTGACCCAAAATGCTAAACCAGGTATTGACAATCTAATTGGTGATATTTGCTAAGACAGGAATTATTATTGCTAATGCACAAATTTATTTTGAACAACCATGTTCTACAGGAATGGATGATGGCTCAAATTATGTGACTTGTGTAGAAGAGGTGTATTATTGTATTTCTAAGTGATTTTCACCTGTATGATGATAAAACGATAATAGAGTTTGAATGAGCAACCTGAGTCATATCTAGAGCCTGGATAGTAAGCCAAGAAGTTTAATTACGATTAAAGTCAAAATTAAGCCATAGCAACACCCTAGCAATGTGACGATTTCTGTGATCTTGGTTCCTAAACGAAATGGTGGTCCTAAGACGGCTGTTGCGACCAAAGATAGCCTGACAGTTCTGACAGTTTCAGAAATTCAGCATGATCATGACACAGTGTGTTTGCTGCTACGACCCACGTTTACTACGTGTACAGCCAATACAAATGCAGTAAAAAATGGCGTTGATCAACGCGACATCACGCTAAAACTTAAAACTGCTTACCTCAAACAGCTTCCTCTTTTATCAGCAAACATAAAAAAGTACAACTGCTAAACTGTGCTTCATCATGCTCTTTTTGTTTACCACTAGTGTGTGCTAATGACGCTTTGTTCCTCAATAGTAACTTGCGTCGTAGCCTACGAGTCACTAGGTGTCATCATCGTACAGTCTGCATACATATTGTACCTAAGTTTATTAGATCCATGTCGCACAGTGTGATTTGTAATGATCTTATCACTAGATAATAATGTGCACTCTTTAGGGTTAAATAAGTTAAAACAATAAATAAATACCTTTTGAAAGGGCACAGTCCTAGTGACCAGTTTTGTACCTTTTTTTCTGAAATAGGGGCCATGGAGACTTGGAGTTGGGCTGTTTTTGACTAACCAACCACCAAGAACACCCTAGCAACCACTTAGCAATGACACAACAACTGCATGCTTCTATAAAACGGTGTATAATGATATAGTAAATATCTGTCTTTGTTTGTTTATGTTCATAGATGCAGTACTGGAATGTCTGGGGGTCAGGTGGGAGCTGCATTGCTCTGTCTTGAGCTATTCAGACACATTATCTGAGCTGTATAGCAACAGCAAAAGACAGAGGGATGTTCAGCTACAAGAGAGAGCTGGTATGGTGCCCATCTAGAGTATATGCTTTTTTGTTTTGTTTTGTTTTGTTTTGTTTTGTTTTGTTTTGTTTTTTGTTTTTTGTTTTGTTTTGTTTTGTTTTGTTTTGTTTTGTTTTGTATTGTTTTGTTTTGTTTTGTTTTGTGAGTTGTGTTTTGTTTTGTGTTTTTTTTTTGTGGTTTGGTTGGTTTGGTTTGTTGTGCATTGTTTTGTTTTCTGGGGTTGGTAGATCTTAAAAGGTCTCTGAAGAACTTAAAGCGTAGTAAATTAGTCAATAGTGTACATTTAAAAAAAATGATGTTTGCCTGAAGATGTAACCATAGCAACAGTATGCTGCATGAATACTCTCAGGTAGGATCAGTATCTATTTTTAACAGTACAAACTGAAAATCGTTTGAGCATCCCACCAAGCTTGATACAAAACAACAATGGCTCAACTAATAACATGAGGATCTATTTGACTAACCAGTGGGAGAGGGGAGAGTGTTGTTCTGGAAACTTGTTTGAAAACAGTCATTATTTTTGTTGAGATTTTCTGTTTGGTGACACCAGTGGTGCAGGAATAGCACACATTACCTCTAAAATAGCCTTTTAAAAAGTCCTGAGAAGTAGTTGAACCCATCCAAATGGCATTATATAATGTGTACATGGGACAGAACTCTTTTTTTATAAAGGAGTTCATTAAAATAGTCATAAAATATGCAGAATAACAAATTTATTACACTATTTAATAAACATTATGTAATAAATAATGCAAAAGTGAAGATCCCATTATAGTCATCATAATAAATACTGTATACAGCTTCAGATATAAATATTTTACATGTTTATCTTAGAGTTTGTGGAATGGACATATTAAAAAAGAAACAGTTCAAGAGAGAAATTCAGGCCTTCCGTTTTGTTTGTGATACTGCAGCCATAAGTAAAGACAGCAAAGTTAATAGGTCTCAGTGTGAAAGAGGACTGGTCTACAGAAAGTGGCATCTCAGCGGCCCTTTGATTCTCCGACTGCCTGTCAAAGACGCCTCCATCAATAAAGAGGGTAAGCGCTAAAAAGGTGTCATATTTATAATATTATAGCGGTAAATAACAAGCTGTGTCATCATCACTTGTTGACTTGCTGTCACATGAGCTTCTTATCTACAGTAAGTGTGCTATTATTGACTGATGAGGGGGCATACAGTGACATTTAAGGAGAAACAGAGTTATGTAAGAATCTCTGCTGTGTTCTAGCTTTGTCTTTTGCCCTGCGGACCCTGTACGACCCAGAGGAACGCCCCAGTGAGTGGGAAGAGGCTGTGCTCTCTACTGCTGCATTACTGGGAATGTCAAACCTCTTCCAGAAGTGAGTATCGACAACTTCAAATCTGTCTTTGCACTAGCAGGTTCAGTACAAGATGTCAAAAACACAAGCTACTGCAGTCACTGTCACTTATATATATATACCAATCCAACGTTTGGAATAATTGTGATTTTTTTTTATATATATTTTTGAAAGAATATTCAGCATATTAGAATGATTTCTGAAGGATCACGTGACACTAAAGACTGGTGTAAATGCTGCTAAAAAATTCAGCTTTGCAATCACAGGAATAGATTACATTTTTTAATTTTAAGTGTATTTGTATGTAAATGTATTTTAAGCCATGCTGTTTAAAACATATATTTAGTTTCTACATATATTTTGGTATGAAAATAAATCATAGGTTAGGAAAGATTTGACAAAGGGTCACATAGAATATGTCTCCTACAAAAAAAGAAAGTAAAAAAAAAACACTATTCCTGTGTGTGTGTAGTGTGTCATATTAAGCAATAAAGACTGATCCAGTAGTGCATAAGCCCACACCCAAGTCTCTAGAGAAGTTTGTGTTGTCCAATCTCAGATTGATTCATATCCAGGATGTTGGGTGGAACTGGATGTGAATTTTGGCACTGCAGTCAGTCACTGTATTTATTTGAAAGATATTTTTCAAATAAGATCACCCATGTTCCACCCAGCAGAGTTTCAACTACAGCGTGCATTGCATAACAGTGCATTTCTCCCTTGGTCATGGGTTCGTCAATTTGTAATCTTTAATGGGAATTAAATTTTACACACAGTCACGATTGCTCATATGTTTATTTTTTAGAATGCCACTTCAGAATATCAAAAATAATCCAGACATATATGAATTCACAGTGTTGTATGGTATATCCAATATTTTTACATTTACTTTTAAAGCTGATGGATATAATTGACAGGTGTCTTAAAGAGATGTTGGCAAATATTTCATCACTGACTGTGTGCAGCTTTCATCGAGTGTCCTGCAAGGTAACAATTCTTCTTCTTCTTCTTCTTCTTCTTCTTCTTCTTCTTCTATTGTTCTTTAAATGACCAATAGGGGGAGCTCTGTATTCAGTGTGTAAACCTCTATAAACTTCTTTCTGTGTTTTTCAGCTTAAAGAGACTGTTCTCCAGAGAGCATGCGAGCGCTGGTTGGAGCTGTTCCTGGTGACTGAACTCTCCTTCCATATAAAACTCAGAGATTTGCCCTTTGACCTCCTGCTGAAGACCCTGCTTAGTCCAAGGTCTCGTATTTTTTTTCTTCTCTTTTTGACCTTTCAGTGGCAAATCACATTGAGAAGCACTTCATCAGGATCTTGTTTGATTACATTGCTTTTGCATAAAGAATATGAAGCCTGTTTATAAGACCATTAGGATGTTTTGCATCGTGACATTTTCCTTCCAAAGCTTCATTACTGCAGTGCATCAGGGTGTTTTACTTTTGCGTTTGTTTGTAATTCCCTTTATTCTCAATGGTCATTTTCATTAGATTCTCATTACTGTAATATGGTCAGGAAAATCATCCTTTCAGCAAATGTTTTCTTCATTTACAACATTTACTTCATTTACATCAACATAAAATAAGTACATCTATCTAGTATCTATCTATTTATCTATCTTGTAATGGGGAAATGTGTAATGTCATAATGCAAAACACAAAATACTTAATGGTCTTAAAATAGTATTAATGGTCTTCATAAATAAATAAATGTATATACTGTATATATATATATATATATATATAATGAAAATTAGCCCATAAATTACTCACCCTCAAGTCATCCTAGGTGTATATGACTTTCTTCTTTCAGACGAATCGAAAACTTGAAATCGCATCATATGACCCCTTTAATATTACATGTTTACAACATATATTTACTATATATTCTACATATATTTTGGCCAGGGGGAAAAATGTCTAATGGGATTGGGGGGAAAAAAACTTATGTAAAATATGTCTTGTACACACAATGAAGGCCAAAGCACATACCTTTGTGTGTGCAATGTGTCATATTAAGTAATAAAAGTTTTATTCTCGATGCTATTTCTCATTAGAGTCTCAATACTCCAATATAGTCATGAAAATCACCCTTTCTCCAAACCTTTTCTAATTTACATCACATAAAATAAATACATTGCACCAAATAATACCATGATGCGTAGACCCATATCATTATTTATTTATTTTTTCTTTATTGTAATGGGTGAAATGTGATTTTGCAATTTCCCTCTGCCAAACACATAATGGTCTTAAAATAGGCCTTTTTTCTTTGTGCAAAATATAATTTCTTTTGATTTTGTGGTGACATATGGCCTGGACATTCTTAATAACACTTTTATAAAGTACTTTTCTGTACTTCAAGTCACCTTCTGCATACATAATGACTATTAAAACACATAAAAACTGAGCAGATGGAGTAAATCAGCAGGAAAATAATAAGCTTTCTGTGTCTAGACTGTTCACATCTAATGAGTATGAGGTCTTGAGAGCAGTGCTGTGCTGGCTGTACCTGCAGTTAAACCCCCTCAGACAGACCCTACCAGCCCACAGCACCATCATCACCTTCTTCTCCAAGTACGTATCCTCCTTGATGGCATTTACAGCTATCAGCAAAACACAATGCATGTGATCCATTAGTATAATTCCAGATAGTAAAAGCCCCATTTATGGAGGACATTACAATAATTCAGTACACTATTCGTTCTTTTTTAAATTACCTTGATACGGCTTAGCTAGTTCCATGCACATATGCTGTTTTAATGACATCCCTCCATCATATATCTGTCTGTTTCAGGGAAACGGCTGTTTTCTTGGAACAGCCTCAGGGTCAAAAATACATCACTATCTTTCAAGCCCTTCGTATGCATGGCATTACTGAATGTAAGTTTTGGTTGCTTCATGATAGATGCTCACAACATCACATCCTCCTTGATGGCATTTACAGCTATCAGCAAAACACAATGCACGTGATAATAGTATAATTCCAGATAGTAAAAGCCCCATTTATGGAGGACATTACAATAATTCAGTACACTATTCGTTCTTTTTTAAATTACCTTGATACGGCTTAGCTAGTTCCATGCACATATGCTGTTTTAATGACATCCCTCCATCATATATCTGTCTGTTTCAGGGAAACGGCTGTTTTCTTGGAACAGCCTCAGGGTCAAAAATACATCACTATCTTTCAAGCCCTTCGTATGCATGGCATTACTGAATGTAAGTTTTGGTTGCTTCATGATAGATGCTCACAACATCACAAACTAACATTGTCTACAGCATTAGATTGGTCTTCAAAACCAAGCATACATCTTTGTCCCCAGTGTCTGAATACTGTTATGCCTCATTGTTAGCTTAACTGAAAACAGACAGTTTGGCAGAATGAATGCGTATATCTCCACGAGAGTGTGTCCAGACAAACAGTACATCCCAGCTACAGGATCACGTCATGGCCACAGTCAGAACCTCATCCACTGGACCTCCAACGTCCACCAAACAGACGTGACAACACTATCAACTTTTCTGAAATACTTCACAGGCACAGTCATACTACTGATGTGGACTATTTTTTAGATCTTAAAGGGATAATTCATCAAAAAGGAACATTTGTTTGTTATACTCACCACCATGTCATTCAAACTTGCATGGACAAAAAAAGTGTTGTAGTGTCCAAGAGTCAAGAGACGTAAAAATGACAGAACATGTGGGGAAACCTGTTTGGAAACAGTTATTAGCACTGTTTGCTCATATGCAGAATCATGGATCTAAACAAACTCTTAACCCTACATACTAAGTAAGTACATAACTTATCCTGCACAAGATACAGGGATGAATGATACCTCATTTAATGAGGGGAATGTTGCAACTTAGCATCAAACTGTTTCATTATGTAAAAACATAAATAAAACAAAGTTCTCTTCAACTAATGTTAAAGGAATAGTTCACCCAAAAATCAAAATTAGCTGAAAATGTACTTACTCTTGGGCCATCCAAGATGGAGTTTGTTTCTTCATCAAACAGATTTGGAGAAATTTGCTCACTTGCTCACCAATGGACCCTCTGCAATGAATGGGTGCCATCAGAATGAGAGTCAAAACAGCTGATAAAAACATCACGGTAATCCACAAGTGATAACAAGACTCCAGTGAAGTGAAAAGATTCATGTTTATTATAAACAAATCTATCATTAAGATGTTTTTAACTTCAAACCATTGCTTCCGGCTAAAATATAAGTCTTCTATCCATAATATTGCTTTCTCCAGTGAATCAGGAGAGAAATATGAACAGATCAAGCACCATTTTTAAGCGAAAACACTCTAAAACGTTGTTCTTAACAAATATGTTGGTGGTTTTTAAGAGGACTGGTATTTTAGACAGAAGCAACGGATTGAAGTTAAGCTGCCTTAATGATGGATTTGTTTCTTACAAACATGCAGCTATTTAATTGAACATTAAACGTTAATTGATTGACTTGAGTTGTGGTAATTACTTGTGGTTTATTGTGATGTTTTTTTTTTCAGCTGCTTGGACGCTCATTCTGACGGCACCCATTCATTGCCGAGGAATTGTTGAGCAAGTGATGTAATGCTAAATTGCTCCAAATCTGTTCTAATGAAGAGACAAAATCATCTACATGTTGAATGAATACATTTTCTGCAAAGTTTTATTTTTGGGTGAACTATTCCTTCAACCAAACACTATACTTGTTGGGAGAAGTAGCTTATCACTGGAAAAGCTACACTGTTTTGGAAATAACAGAAATGTTCTTGCCTAAGTTAGAAGCATTGCTACTTTTAGTTTACTACCCAACACTACATTTGAGTTATGTTGTTTTTGTGTGTTCATGTCTCAGGGCAGCATCTGCAGGAGCTGCAAAACATCAGAGTTCTTCCTGAATCCTGGCTGCTGCACATCCTGTCCAATCATTACCACACTGTGAGTGTGTGTGTAGAGATCACAATCACAACACCTTATTCAACCCACCCGTCACTCCAGATGTACCGCCATACATAATTCACAAACTGCTTGCTTTAATATAAGTTGTATTGATTTTTTGGCTCCAAGTAAAAACTAATTCATTAGCTGCAGGGTTTATCTGTATGTTTTTTCCATAGCTTTACAGCGGGGGCGACATGGTATTGACTGACTTCTCCAAACAAGCTATCCGTTTTGGAATGATGTTTGATAGGGTGCGGTACACTTTCTGACACTTCAACACTGATGCATTATGGCCATTCCTGGAGCTTTTCAGTCCTTCAGTCACTTGCAATTACAGTTGTTACAATATGACAAAGTCAATCCATGCTTTTTCTTTCATGCTCATGGTCTTTTACTTGCTTGTAAGGCAGTATTTTGTGTGTTGTTTTTCCTTGTGTCACCGTCCAGGAACAAGTGTGCTGCACTCAAACCATCAGCATCTATGGCTTTTACTTTCTTCTCCAAGCTGCTAAAATGGGCGAATCAGATACATACAGCTTCTCCATTGAGGTTAGAGCATTCACAGCTTCATATACCCTTGTGAAAAATAAGTGCGCATAACTGTATCAAATGTGCACTTGTAGTGTACTTCAAACCTTTAAACTATATTTAAAAAAATTTACATTGCAGATGATATAATGTTAATGAAATATAAGTCCATCAAAGTGTATTTAAAGAGAGGACACTTTTCATGACCAAGTCTCAACACACAAAGTGCACTTTGTTAAATGTGTCAAATTATAAGTTTTACTTATCATGCTTTAAAAAGTACACTTATTTTGATGTGTTGACTAAGTACGTGATGTAGTGTGTTATTTGATAATACATTTAAAGTTAACATATCTGTGACTTCATTACAAATGTGTAATAACAAACATATTTATGGCATACAAGTTTCAATGGAAATGATAAGTGTAATTTATTTAGCCATAAATGCTTGCCAGTATATTTAGCAGTGCAGTTTAACCACATTTCAAAGACAATAAAAGCAATATGTAGAGATGTACTTACTTAATTGGATCAAAAAGCACTCGGTCACACTTTATTTTAAGGCTCAATTCTCGCTAAACCATTAACTACGACTTTTGCGTTAATGCACTCCTAGTTTGCTGCTTATTAATATTTAGTAAGGTAGTTGTTAAGTTTTAAGGTATTGGGTAGGATTAGGGATGTAGAATATGGTCATGCAGTATATGTGCTTTATAATTAATAAACTAGCCAATATGCTAGTATAGGCATGCTAATAAACAACTAGTTAATAGTGAGTATTGGTCCCTATACTAAAATGTTTCCAAGCACTCTTAAAATCACTGTTTGCATTTACCATAATATAAATTTAAATTGTAATACATTTTAATAGTAAATAAATAACATGCTATTAAGAGTCTGAGAAATTACATTCAGCTTGTGCTTAAGTATTTTATTTTAAAGTAAATTATAACCATAATAAATTATCTTTTTAAAAGTATCCTAAAGTGTACTTCTTTTTCACAAGAATATGCCTAACAAGTTAGGACTTATTACGTCTTAAGTATCCACCAGATGGCACTTTAAGCTGGAGCTATCAATGTATTTCATTTATGTATTCAACTGGTGTTGTGTAAAGCAGTTCACCCACAATATTGTCATCACTCATGCATTCTTTGTGTCATTCAGCCAAAGCTGAATGATTTCCCCCCCCCCCCATGGACCAAACAAGTGATGATTTGGGGTGCAATGTCATCTGCTGGTGTTGGTCCATTGTGTTTTTTGAAAACCAACGTCACTGCACCCGTTTACCAAGAAATTTTGGAGCACTTCATGCTTCCTTCTGCTGACCAGCTTTTTGAAGATGCTGATTTCATTTTCCAGCAGGATTTGGTACCTGCCCACACTGCCAAAAGCACCAAAAGTTGGTTAAATGACCATGGTGTTGGTGTGCTTTACTGGCCAGCAAACTCACCAGACCTGAACCCCATAGAGAATCTATGGGGTATTGTCAAGAGGAAAATGAGAAACAAGAGACCAAAAAATGTAGATGAGCTGAAGGCCACTGTCAAAGAAACCTGGGCTTCCACCTCAGCAGAGCCAGAAACTGATCACCTCCATGCCACGCCGAATTGGGGCAGTAATTAAAGCAAAAGGAGCCCTTACCAAGTATTGAGTACATGTACAGTAAAAAATGTTTTTTTATTGGTCTTATGGAGTATTCTAATTTGTTGAGATAGTGAGTTGGTGGGTTTTTGTTAAATGTGAGCCAAAATCATCACAATTAAAAGAACCAAAGACTTAAACTACTTCAGTCTGTGTGCACTGAATTTATTTAATACACGAGTTTCACAATTTGAGTTGAATTACTGAAATAAATGAACTTTTCCACGACATTCTAATTTATTGAGATGCACCTGTATGTTAGAAATAGTCTGAAATTTAAGTCTGGTTCTTGCATGTTTCATTATTGTAGTCAAACCTGCCTACGAGGCTTGACACACCATTTTTAAATGTAGGCATGCATGAATTCCACAAAAGGAAAAGAAAAAAAGTCATACATTTTTTATCTTTTATATTTTGGGTGAACTCAGAGATTCCTCAGAACATATGTCATCTTCTCCCACCCTCCTTCTAACTGTCTCTCTCTCTCTCTGTGTGTGTAGAGGTTAAGACACTGGGATCCTGCTGTGTGCCAGTCTTCCATTGTGAGCCGTCCATACAGTGTGCGATCTGATCGATCAGTGCGCTATCACATCACAGTGCAAAGCTATGCCAATGGCGAGTGGCAAGAGCACAGCAGTGGACCTGTCAATAAAGAATTTGGCTTATGCAAACGCCGGTCTAGGAGCAAGGTACCAACACCCAGCGTTTAAAATAAAACAATGAAAACTAAAGACAGGATGATAATCTGTTTGAACACAATAATCTGAACAGTTTAAATTTAACAGTTATTGCTGACAGCCTAAAATAGAGATGAACAATCAGTATTTTAGTATCGCTGCAATACCTTTTCATTCATTGTTTTTATTATTATTTTGATTTTTTATGTTATTTTTTTTCCATTTTTATTTTAATTTTTTTTTTCATTTAACATTTTGCATTTTGGGGGGATTTTATGGTACTAAATTATATTTAAGGAATAGTTATTATCCATGTATTACCTGTTAACTACTTTTTGAGCTTTGACCTGAAAAAAATTCCAACTTAAACTGTTTACTTAAAAGCATATTTGCTCCCCATTTATTTCCAATGCGGTCATCTATCTATCTATCTATCTATCTATCTAGCTATCTGTCTGTCTGTCTGTCTGTCTGTCGGTTAGAAACACTTCTGGGTATTTTTATTCATTTCCAGCTTAGGCAACAAATATAACAGCATCCAAAATCCTCTGTAGCTTTAATTATTAATATAAAGTGGCCTCATTGCTGTACAAAAAACAAAAATAAATAAATACAATTACAAAATGAAATTAAATGTAGTGCAGTCAATAAACAATGCTAAAGTAGATTAAAAAGATTTAGAAAGAAAGAAAGAAAGAAAGAAAGAATAATTTTAATGCACTTTTTACTATTATTTATTATGCAGGGTTTTTTTCCCCTAGAAGTTCCTTTTTTGTGCATATATTTGAAGTTCTTATTCTATATTAGATTTTACTTTATTTTATTAATTTTATTTTATTATTATAATTTTTTTTTTACAGAAGATCTTGTTTTTTTATTTTTTGGGCATACATTTTCTTATTTTAATTTTCTTAATATTTTTCTTGCACAGATTTTTTTTATTCTTTTTTTTTTTTTTTTTTGCATGTACAGTTTGCATCCAGATTAATGTCTGAAACTTGTTGGAGCAAAAGCAGCTGGTGACAGTCTGCCGTGAACACTTGAAAGTCTTCATTCGTCTCTTCTTCTTCTTCTTCTTCTTCTTGCTGCTTTTTTAGTTCTCAGAAAGTTTCCTCAAGGCATATTCCAATTCACGACCTTATGCACTGTTCTAAGCAATTTTAGTAGTGTTTTCACACTGAAAATTCCAAACAGAAAAAGTGCACTTCAAATAGTGAGGTCTAAATTGCATTTGTGGGATACAATATGTTGCCCAGTGTGCTCTGGTACTGCACATTTTGGCAAGCTCATCCATGTCTTCCATGCATACAGAAAGTTAGCGTATATCATTTGCACATTATACTGTAAAATTAAACTTGAAAAAGAAAAATATCTTCTAAGGAGCAGCTATTGCACCATTAGCTGTTGTTTTTGAAGCTCATTTTTCATACCTAGATCTGTGGACTGCCATCATTTGGCTCATGCAGCCTCAAAATAGTTTCCCTCCTCTTGAAGCGTGCTGCATTGCTATTGTTTTCAAGGGCTGCGAATTGAGGGAAGAGGAAGCATGTTTTGCGTGGTGCGCTCTGTGTTTTCACATGGGCAAACTGCCACTGAGGAAGCAAAGCTATCCTGATCACAATACATGCTGGAAAATGCTCAGCCGAGCAGTGCGGATATACAGCAGCCGTTCACAGACTACTGCATGACCCGCTGACCCCATGCAGGCTTTAAATAAAGTCACTCTGCTGCTCTGACCCTGTGACCCACACGACTGGCTTCCCCTGACCCACATTTTAATTCGAAAGTGAATAGGAGAAAGCAGAAAGACTTTTTGAATCTTACTAACTCGTCACCAAGAAAGTTCAGGAATTAGTAAGACGTAAAAAAATGAAAAGAAGATATTTTGAAGAATGTTGGTTACCAAACAGTGGCTGGTAGCCATTGACTTATGCTGTGTTCATGCCATGTCGTAATTACCGTAATTCCGAGATGACAACACGTGACGTTCAACTCAGTGCTGTTCACGTCCTCGGATTATCTGTTTCTATAAGGACAGTCAACAAAATGAACCCGCGTGAATGTTACTGGCAGCTGTAAAACACAACACAACAGTTGCTATGCAAATGCATCATTATTACACTTTATAATTATTTCTTTAGGTTGTTATCACATGGATAGCCTAGATATCTGACTCTGCGCTGCATGTATTTCGTTTATGTTCACATTACTTTCGTATGAAGGCATCTACATTGGCAAAAGTCAATTACACGAATTTTAAAACATAAATATTACAAAATAACATTTAAGTTAGCTCTCAGAAAACTCCCTGTTCACAGGTTGTAATTACGAGTTCTATGAGGACGTGCACTTTTTACAAGTTGGTAGCTCGTAATTACGGTAATTACGATATGGCGTGAATGCTCCTTTACTACTTTTTTTTTTCCATACGTCAATGGCCACACCAACTATTTGGTTACCAACATCCTTCAATATATTTTCTTTTGCATTCAACAGAAGAAAGAAATTCATACTGGTTTGGAACAACTTGAGTGTTAGGAAATGATGACAGAATTTTCATTTTTGAGTGAACTATTGCTTTACGACTGATAAGAAAACTATGGAAAAAAATATTTGTATAAAGTAACTGCATTTTTTTTTTTAGCAATTCTGACTCCTATTGTGAGAATACATCACAATTATGACTTATTGTTGTGCAAATCTAAGAATTCATCTCAGAATTGTGAGATATAAACACAGAGTTGCAATATGTTAACTCACAATTCCGAGAAGAAAAGCCCAAATTGTGAGATCTAAACTCAAATTTGAAAACAAAGTCAAAATTGTGAGATAAAACGTTGCAATAGACCTTTTTTATTTAAAAAAAAAAAAATAATAATAATTGCAAAACGTAAACTCAGAATTGATAGAAAAAAATAATCAAAATGATCAGAATTCTGAGAAAAAGCTTTTTTTTTTTAATTTTCTTTTCTTTTTTCTTTTCTTTCTTTCTTTTTTCTTTTTTATTCCATGGTGGAAACAGGCATCCAAAACAGAATTTATGTATTTAGTTATTTTTCAGAAATATTCATTTGCAGTTTCAAACTCTACAGTTTATCCACATTTTCAGCCTTGCATAATAACATGCATGTATTTTTCGAACTGTTAAAAATGTATTAAATATTATCTATTAATTTTGTAATTAATTAGAGACATAATTTATATTGTGTTTAGAGCAGTTTTTCAGTCTGTTTTCATATACATATGTGTTTTTTGTTTTTATCTCAATATGTGCAGGCTCTGCACGTCACTATAACCTCCAATAGCCTTTGCTCAAATCTCAAACTTGCACCTAAACAATAAAACACTGGGAAAGAGAGCATCCAGGGGGATTTCCCATAATACAGCACTGTTTCCTTCTCTTCAGTCACCTCCTAGAGCATTGCAAGGCATAAACTGGATATACCACACATTTAGTCCACACTGTGAAAGTAAAAGCTCCAAAGCTTTAAAATACATTAGTAAAAAGTAAAAATACAATAAAAACTGCAATATAGTCATTCATTCCTGTGATGGCAAAGCTGAATTTTCAGCAGCCATTACTCCATTCAGAATGGTTTTTTGTAACATTACAAATATCTTTAACTGTCACTTTTGATATGTTTAATGTGTCATTGCTGAATAAAAGTATTCATTTCTTTTTGTTTTAAAAAATTGTACACATCCCTAGCTTTGGAATGGCAGTTTCCACCGAAATACAAAGCAGCACAATAATAATAAAATGTTTCTTGAGCAACACATTATAATTATTATTATAATTTCAAGTCAACATATTATAATGATTTCTGAATAACATCTAGCCTACGTGACTGCAGTAAAACTATTTGAAAAGTGGATCAAATATGACCTACACTTAATCACGCTGAACAACAGACATTCTATTTATAACTACAAATCCCATCGTCCTTTTCTTTACATCCGGAAAAGAAGAGGCCTTTTCCGCCTTCAGTCGTAATTTTGTGAATCCCACTATGGTGAAGGTTTTTGGTCATGAATATTAATTATATCTCCTGACAGACGGCTATTTGATTGGTTGAATGCAGACATAGGCAGGTGGGCGTTAGTTTGCTGCCGAACAAGCCCGGGAGGGCTTGGCTCATGTTTATTAATACAGAAACGTGACTGGACGCTCTAGGGAGGTTGCCTAGCGACGTCAGCAGGAACTAATTCATATTCATGAGCTAACCCCTGGTCATAGTGGGATTCGCAGTTCCGCTCTCCGCCCGTCAGCTGCGGGATAGGCAGACCGTCGGAAGTTTGTGGGAGATGGGCTGGAAGTCCAGCACAGGCAGACCGAACGCTGCTGCACAGGAGTTTCCCAGCTGCTTATAAGTGTGTAAGTTATCTACACATATACTAACGAGACATATCGTGGAGTATTAAACTTTGAATGCGTGTTATTGGTTGTGTTCAAATCAGTGACGTTAGTTACAGATTTACAAGGGCAGTTCACCAGCTCCCTTTATGCAAAACCTGTCGCTTCTGTTTCAGACAGCAGGTTACCGATCGAAACAGATTAAATCATTTAAGCTAGTCTTTGACATGTAAATCATTTTTGATCTCGCTCTCAGAAATGATAGATTGATTTTGTCTGAAGATATGGCATTGATGCGTTATGTCTGTACACAGCTGTTAAACCTAGTGCGCTGCTTAACTAGACAGCATTTTTGGACATTACAAGCATGAATGGAACGCACAAACGCGCCTGTGATGCTCGTAAATGCTGTAGAAGTACCTGTAATGTGGTGATATCATGCTACAACGATGCAGTGATAGTATCAGGTGATATGGTACTGAGATGGGGAAAAAAAACAACTATGGTAGTACCATTGTGCTTATTTTGTTTGTTTTTGTTTGCTGGTGAAGTGAAGATACAGATGTCAATCACTGTTTTGATCTAGAGTTCAAAGTGCCGCCCACTTTTTCATTGGCCTTGGTTTTTTTGAGGTGTAGAGAATCTTTCCCTTAGAGAATTTTAAATCTTTGTTAAAACATTATAAGCAATGAAACAAACCAACGAGCTACAGAGTGAATCACTATGTTACAATTTTAAGCAAAAAAAAAGAAAGAAAACCTGACAAAAGACAATGGTATAAGACTGTGCACTTAATGGCTTTAATCATAATGGACATATATAAAACTATTGATTTAGGGTAGGGATGCAAAACGTTTAATTACGATTAATCACATTCAAAATAAAAATTTGTGTTCACATACTATATGTGTGTGTGTGCTGTGTATATTTGTGACCCTGGACCACAAAACCAGTCATAAGGCAATTTTTTTTTTTTTTGAGATTTATATAATATAAATAAATAAATAAGCTTTCCATTGATGTATGGTTTGTTAAGATAGTACAATATTTGGCAGAGATACAACTATTTGAACATCTTCTGAGGGTGCAAAAAAAATACAGATATTGAGAAAATCACCTTTAAAGTTGTCCAGATGAAGTCCTTAGCAATGCATATTACTAATCAAAAATTAAGTTTTGATGTATTTACGGTAGGAAATTTACAAAATATCTTCATGGAACATGATCTTTACTTAATGTATAATAAGTATGTAACTTTTATGTTGAATGTGATTATTCGCGATTGATCTTTTTCCAGTCCTAATTTAGAGATGTGGATGATATAGAAACAGTATATTAACAATATATCAATTTATTTCAACGTTTCAAATTTCGGACACAGCCCTTGTTTCAGTTTTTTGATTTATTTATTTTAAATAAATGCTGAAATAATTTAGGCTGAACAGCTTCAACAGAAGTGTATCCCTTCGATTACAACCACATAATTCATAGGTCTGTATATAGTTATAGTTAAAAAAAACAATTCCCCTATTGAGGAAATGAATGGGATATTTTTTTTTTTTGTATATCTGGAACCCAACTGTTGCACTATATTGTGGTTTTCTCTTCAATTGCATTTGCTTACCTCTTTCTAAATTACACTACCATTATTGCCATCCGCTCCTTCAGTAATCAATAGTACCATGGTAATATCATGCTGTATCAAGAATGGTTTAAACATTTACCATGATAGCACCATGGTATTCCTATTATTATTATTATTATTATTTTTTTTGGCATTGTCATTACTCATTTGTCACAAATCTGTCTTTGCTGCAGTGCAAAGTAGTTTGGGCTCATATATTGCAGACCTTAATCGGATACATTGCTTTTTGTTTTTGATTACTGTATGGATTTTTTTGTATTATTATTGCATTATTGTATGGAATAGAGCTGTCAAAAAATAGAAAATTATGAATAATAATAATAATTTTAACTAACAACTATAGTAACTGCCATAATTTCATATTTAGTTGAACTATTCTTTGAATGGCTGCACTGGGTTCTGTATTTTCATGGCAGTTATTCCACAGTTTCCTGTTTCCACACAAACACTCATGTTAGGAACTGTGTAAGTTGATGAATGCATTTTTTTCAATAGCTCTCTAACCCACTCATGTACATCTCACTGCACCTATTGTTTTCTTACATAATCCGTTTCAATTAGAACTGCTGATTACTTTCATGATAATATTAATATGACATTAATATGAACATTCATTTATTTTGATATTACAGAAGTGTAAGCAGTAAGATTGTAACATGAAGAGTGGATGGAATAGTTTTCCAACTTTCCAACACGCCAAACGATGCAGAATTAATGGGCTGTGGTGTGATGTTATGCTCAAGGTATTTTACTCAAGGAAGATATGTCAAACCTGTCAAGCAAGTATGTCAAGGGTATCAAATATATATCAAAGTTCCTCCAAAACTGCTGTGCTGAAGTGAAAACATTCAGGTGTTGTGCTGGGGTCTATCCAAACAGTTTTGTACATAAAGCAACATATACTTTGTACACACATACCATATTACAGTTATGGTTCAAAAGTTATGCTATTCAAAAGTTTTGGGTCAAAAAGGTTTATTTCCTTCTTTAGAAAGAAATTAATATATATATATATATATATATATATATTTTGTATTCAGCAAGGATGCATTATATATATAAATTTCTTGTTTTCACATGATCCTTGCACAGTACTGCATTATGACCTAATAACACTTTTAGAAGATTTATAGAAGCAAGCTAAAATGGCTGGTTTGCTTCAGCAAATGTGTTTTTATTTCACGTTTGCTTTTGTTAATACTAGGCCTATAACACTAGGGTTTGATGTAGAGATGAAACAGTATGAAAATGTCATATCTCGATACTGACCAAAATGATCAGGGTTATCAATATTATCACGGTATTAAAATGTTCTGCAAATGTTCAAAAAGTACTCATACACACTGAAATCATTTCACCAAGTTTTATATTGAAAACCAAAAAGCAACGAATAAAATTAGCAGCACTATGCACTTTTTGTTTGCATAAACATTAAAATAATTAAAAACAAATGTCATTAAAAATGGCTTAAATATTAAACAAACATAAAATATTGACTGGGTGAATTATAGCATGTTATCTACTAACATGTACTACATGTGCAAATAAAGTTAAACAATTTTTTTATAAATTGATAAACCTCATTTCAGCCATTTACATAGGCTACCATATTATCCGAAGTGTTGAGAATTTGTATAAAGCACGTTAGCTTGTTTTCCATCTACCAGTTAAGATTTACAACAAAAATCTGATCCAATTTTCGCATTGTTCTGAAAAATATGGCAGACAGGCTGAATAAAAATGTAAATCCACTGTCTGCCAGCATGCGGCGCTTATGGAACAGCAGAAATGGAGCTGTTTCCCGGAAACCTCTGTAAACAAACCAGCTCTGCGCTTATAAACACTACATTTTTACACATTACATGGAGAGAAGATGAAAAGCAAATGTCATCAAAACTTTTCAGGAAACAGGTGGTTCTCCTTTATGCACGTTGCTTAATGCTGAGGTTACCGCAAGTTTTTAAAATCAGTTTAAGCAAATATGGTTTTAATGATATTTAAAATATGAAACGATAATGCTAACCGTTGGGACTTGATATCGTAGTTTCACTAATGGTTTCATCCCTAGGTTGTAGGTGCTATGTTATTTTCAAATACAACAGCATGTACAACAACCAACATAAAATATTGCCAGATTTAAGATTCGGAGAAAACTAAACGCACTGTTAGAGCCAGTCACTGGACATTTCACTTTAAAATTGTCACAAAACTTGCAAGAAGCAACATAATATCATTTTGCTGAAAGGCTGCCACTGGCACGTTGTTCCAATAGGTAAGACTGCTGGAATATTCTCTATTGCAGCCAGTAGCTTGATACCAGTTATGCTCAGCATCAGAATACTTCACTGCTGTTTCCTCTAGATCCAGTCAATCCAGTTTGCGTTTCCTTCTGGTAGTTTACGAGTTTTACCTGACTCGGAACAGTCTATGTCCTGTAGAAAGATCTATCTCTTGCTAGATAATATAGCAAAAAATCTCACACTACACATGATGCAAATCTATTGACAGTGAATAAGGAAGGAAATGCCACCTTACCTCACTTAAACCTGAATCTGTCTCTCTCACTCAAACGTGAACATAAACAGAAGCACAGGTAGGGCCTGTAGGACATGTGTTCTGACAGACAGCATGCTACTGTTGCTTTTATTGCAGGCACAAACTGATTATGGGTCCTTTTTAATAAGTGTGGACATTCATGGGTGTGATGTATGTATGTATGTGTGTGTGTGTGTGTACGGGTGCATCTCAAAAAATTAGAATATCATGGAAAAGTTCTTTGTCTTTTGTCATTTAATTCAAAAAAGCTAACTTTCTTATATTCTAGATTCATTGCACACAAACTGAAATATTTCAAGGTTTTTTTTTTTGTTTTAATTCTGATGGTTACGACTTACAGCTTAGGAAAATAAAAAATTCAGTATCTCAAAAAAATTAGAATATTTCATTTTGAGCTTGATTAGTTTGATTAATTTTGAGTATAAATACTGGGTACCTCCTGGGCTAGTTTAGAACATGCAACCACAATCATGGGGAAGACTACTGACTTGACAGTTGTCCAGAAGACGATCATCGACACCCTCCACAAGGAGGGTAAGCCACAGAAGGTCATCGCTGAAAGGGCTGGCTGTTCACTGAGTGTTGTATAGAAATATATTAAAGGGGTCATATGACGTTGCTAAAAAGAACATTTATGTTGTGTATTTGGTGTAATGCAATGTGTTTATGCGGTTTAAGGTTCACACATTATTTTCCACATAATGTACATTAATGTTGCTCCTCTATGCCCCGCCTTTCTGAAACGCGCCGATTTTTACAAAGCTCATCGGTCTGAAAAGCGAGGTATAAGCTGATTGGCCAGCTATCCAGTGCGTTGTGA